CGATAGTATCGTGTATCGATGATAGTCAGAGATATCACCTGTGACTGATTTCTTTGACGATAGCAAGATGATTATTATTATTATAATTATAATAATCTTGTCAGTAAAGCCGGTTCTGTGATCAGTAGTAAATCTCCAGCACGTGCTTTCAGATGGAGCAACATTTAGTACACTGAGCCATAGTTCACTGACAAGGTACGCAAAACTGCTGCTCCATCTGAAAGCACGTGAAAATACCACATTTAATAACATGTTTTTGCTCCAAACTCACTCCATATAACGTCAGATGAGATGATGTGACTTCTTACACAGAATAATGCACGTAACATATTTCATAGTATTCTAAGCAGTGATAAAGGTTATGTCGATTAGCATTTCATTATTATATACTTTATTATAATACAAATTATAAGATGAAATCAGATAAACCATATATTGTCGTAGTCGTGTGTTTATTAGTCACGTTGAATTAGGGCTGGACAATAATTCGATATCATTATATATCGCGATATATATTTTTTCAATAACGGTGATATGGTTTTTAAACACATTTCCGATATTTCGATATAGCCTACATTTACCAGTGTTTCCCATACATTGATTTATTTGTGGCGTTTGACTTCGTTGAATAAACATGAGCACTGCACATTTCAAAATCAAAACTTGTCGTGGGTGTTTTATAGAGGTCGACCGATAGTGGATTTTGCCGATACCGATAGCTAGGTTGGACCACACTGGCCGACGGAGCTGATTTGATTACAGCCGTTACTGGAGAAACCGCTAGTTCTACCGCTCTCAAAGCGCCTCCTGCTGGCAGAGACTCAGTTTGCATTTTCAATGAGCCCGTCTCCAGCAGCATGTCTTTGTTGTTGCTTTTTTTTTTTTTCTCTCTCTGCAGCAACTCAGAGCACTTTTCATAGAATTTTCTGCATCATTACTCCAGTCTTCAGTGTCACATAATCCAGAAATCATTCTATGCTGATTTGCTGATTATCAATATTTGATACAGTTGAGTACATTTTTTTTTTTTTCAGGATTCTTTGATGATTAGAAAGACCTAAAGATCAGCATTTATCTGAAATAAAAAGCTTTTGTAACATTATACACTATTCCATTCAAAAGGTTGGAGTCAGTATAAATGATTTTTGAGCAGCAAATCAGAATATTAGAATGATTTTTGAAGGATCATGTGACTGGAGTAATAATGCTAAAAATATAGCTTTGAAATCACAGGAATAAATTACATTTTAAAATATTTTCAAATAGAATACCGTTATTTTAAATAGTACAAATATTTCAAAATGTTACTGTTTTTGCTGTATTTTGGATAAAATAAATGCAGGATTGGAAGAAGAGAATTCTTTAAAAACATTAAAAATCTTACCGTTCAAAAACTTTTGACTGGTAGTGTATGTTAGCCTATAGTTTGAAGTTAAAGATATTAATATTAATTAGATTATTTGACAGTGATTTCACATTTCTTTTTTGTATGAAGGCTAAATACAAATAAAAGGTGAACATTAATTTATTTGTGCTGATTTTTTTCTTTTTTCTAAAATATATGGTTTTATATGAGGTGTCAGAGACTTGGCAAATTAATTTTTCATAAATTTGTATGCACAGACATCTGTTGTGGCATTCTTGGCAGTTTTTACGAGGCTTTTTTAAATAGTGTTCATATCGATATCGGAATTATATCGTATCGACCGAAATTAAGAAATATATCGTGATATAAATTTTGGCCATATCGTCCAGCCCTACGTTGAATCAATGAAAGCAGTTAAATCTTCTGTTTATTCAGCAACCACTATAGGGATTTCCTGGGTTTCTTCTGCCAGGCGTATTTGGAGTTTCCGCGTGAGAGCGCCCTCTGGCCTTCGAATGGATATTTACTACTGATCACAGAACCGTGCTTTCCTGACAAGATGTGCATGACAATCGCAGCTTTTGCTTAATCGTGATTGCAATTTAATTTCGATTAATCGTGCAGCCCTAAATACTATCTAATTAATATTAGGGCTTATTTGTTCCATCATATTTATTTTTTCGCATTTTTACAGTGTTGTGTATTATAACCAATCACACACGATTCCGTTGAGTTTATGAATGCAATGTCCTATCAGAGGCGTTCAGATGAGTCATTGCTGAAACACCGGAGTTTTGTTGTTCAGTGCGTACGCTCGCTGACTGAATTCTACTCTCTCGCAAATTCTCTCATCATTTACAACAAAGTGCAGATTAGGGCAGAGCCGTTGTTCACAGGCAAGCTGCGCAACACCACGTTCATAATCGTGCGATTTTTTGCGCAGCTTGTCAGTGAACAACGGCTCTGTGTAGTAAATGCTGCTCCATGTGAAAGCCCGCACGTGATGGAGATTTACCGCTGATTACAGAAGCGGCTTTACTGACAAGATGCGCATTAAATATCGCATGCGATTTATCGTGCAGCCCTAGTGCAGATGTACGTGTGATGTAATTATAAGAGATTTATTCATCATACAGTGTAGATGGCTTCACTGATTATAACGGGAGTGTTTTTTATAGTGCATAAACTAGACTGAAGTCATGTTCTTTTTGATAATGTAAATGTTCTCTGTTGCGGCTGTTTGAATAACTGAGGAAATGTAAGCATTATAATTAGTAATTTACAATGTTTCTATTAAATTATCATGTTAAATACAAATTCAGTCATATTAAAAATATTTTATGACATGACATCCTAGCTAGGGTTGCAAAGGGGTGGAAAATTTCTGTAATGTTTCCGAAATTTACTGGAAATTTTCCACCTTTTTGCAACCCTAATCCTAACATCAGGCTGCTTTTAGCCTAAAGCCTCATACACACCGGGACGATTATCGTGCGCGCTTATCGCCGACGTTTTTCGACGCGTCTTTTGTGTTCATACCCAAGCGATTTTCGCAGGCGATGAGCCGAGTGAACGTGCAAATTCACTTCCTTACATTAGATGGCGCTTAATGAAAAACAGAAATACCCGTTACACATCGAATCCTATTTGATCTGCAATTCCTCTCCATAACAACTCCCTCTTATCGAGATTTGTGTAGTCGCTGTCGCGTTTGTCATAAAGCCCTTTGTGTTCAGACACCAATGAGACCAGCAGCTCTACATTCATCTTGCCTCGATGCATCTTCTTGGTCTGCTTAATTCCTCTTCTTCGTCGCTTGAGCGCCACCAAGTCGTGTTTTATTGTAACTTCAGCAGCTTCAGGTACGCGAACAAAAGCGCCAATCTCATTGGTCGGCCAGTTTTTAACATGGCGCGTCAAACCAAAAAAACGAGCCCGAGGGGTTTTTAAAAAAATGACGCTTTTACACCTCGCGTTTTGCGCGTCGGTGTGCACACTCACATTGGCGCCCTTTGTTTAGTCACGAGGCGTTAAACGTCGGCGATAATCGCACGCGATATTCGTCCCGGTGTGAACAAGCTTTTACCCTGTAAATAATTAAGTAAATTAGCATGATATTGTGTATCGGTGATCTCACATGCTGATGATAGGACGATATGATTATGGAGCATATCGCCCAACACTACAGGCCTGTCAGAATATCAGAGCCTCTCTAGTTGTTCATAGTTCAAGTGGTGCTCATGATATGGAAATTTACAGATAAACGTCTCAAGCAGGTCAATTACTGATAAAGACTGTTCTCTGATTCTTATTAATAATATTTGGTTTGAAAGCACGTTAACTCACTTAACCGCTGTTTTTCTAGTCTCCTTGTCCTGTGGCTCAGTGCTGAACCTGTCAGATTTATGTGTGGGTAAATATGAGTCAAACGGCACAAATAAATCAATGTATGGGAAACTGATAATGTATATCGAAATATCGGAAATGGTTTTTTAAAATCATATCACCGTTATTGAAAAATATTATATCGCGATACATATTGATATTGAATTATTGTCCAGCCCTAAGTGTACAGTGTTCAGAGCTCGGGTGAGGAATGCGGTATGCTTACCTCTTGTTCTTCATGAGTAGTGCCATAGACCCCTATAGCAAGATGCAGGTCTCTAAGAGGCTTATAGTGTTTCCCCTCACGCGTCTCAGAGAGCACTGATTCTAATGGCTGGATTAGTTGTTTATTAGTCAATGCTGTATCATAAAGCTACCCACTATGGTCATCTCAATACCAAAATTGTAATAATTTGTATCAGTGCCAATGAATTTACTGATACTTGATACTGATTTCAAACAACATGTAATAGCAGCTAATATACTTTTGAACACAACTTTATTTATTTAAAGATATATATTAAGCGAAGTATTAACAAATTAAACGAGAATAATGGCACGTAGCTTTGAAGTAATTCTTAATTAAACATTTCACATTTACAAAGTTATTAATGAAGTAAACAGACCGTAAAGAAGCAAATTAGCAGTAAGTGGTTTTCTGTTTTTCGTTTTGATACTGTCATTTGAATAACATCTGACTGCATTTACATTGGAAGGTGTGGGACGTGTTAACACAAAAATGAGAATTTGCTGAAAATGTACTCACCCTCACGCCATCCAAGATGTAGATGCATTTGTTTCTTCATCTGAACAGATTGGGAGAAATTTAGCTTTACATCACTTGCTCACCAATGGATCCTCTGTCTAAACAGCTGATAAAAACATCACAATAATCCACAAGTGATCCACATGAATCCAGCCCATCAATTCACATCTTAAGTGAAAAGCTGCATGTTTGTAATAAACAAATCCATCAATGAGATGTTTTTAACATCAAACTATTGTTTCCGGCTAAAATACAGATTTTGGCTGTATCGCCCATCCCTTGCCCAATCTGTTTATATTTACTCTGTTTAAAATTGACTGTTTACATTTTAATACATCAATACATCAATCGTACTGTGAAATATGTATCATGTATCAGATAGTGGATGATACCCAGTCCTGTTGGCAGGGATGACCAGCAGTTGTGATCTTAAGGCTTGTAGTGTGTGCTTGGCTTTAGTACTATTGTAATATGGCCTCTCGCTAGCCTATATAGTCTTGTTGTAAAGTAGCAGTACTTTTGCTGTCCCGACTGATCTTTCTTTTAGCTGAGAGAAATTCAGAGTCCTGCTTGTTGATGTCAAACTGTGTATCTCACTGGAGTGCAGAAGTAGGGTGATGCTAAAATCTGGGTCATCGGTCCCTTTTACACGTGTTCAGAGCTCCCGACAGGGGCAGCAGGAGTCTGTAACAAAACGCTCCACATGGCAGCCGAAAGAGAGGACTGAATACAGGCTAGAATGAGATGTGTGCGGGGGGAAATAGAGCAGATGGAGCACCTGATGAAATTTGTGTTAGCCCCCAAAGCTACCGTCAGAGGAACAGGGTCAGTAGCATATTTCCACTGTTGCCTTAAGCTTGTGTGACCACTATTCATCTGCACTGTGCTTATTTGCATTCTGATTCCAACCAGGAGGTCTGTTATTGTGTATGACGAATGTGTCCTTTTCCTCCACAGATGCAGGGACCGTCTAGCTGGTAAATGCCTGCAGGCTGTCAATGTGTGGTCTTCCTGGAGACAGTCTTTAAGGAGAAGTGTTTGGGGTGAGCTGCTGACCTCCCTGCAAGCCGGACCCGGCGTCCTATCTCTGATCTCCTGCCAAGGAGATAGCAGTTGCTGCACACTCTACACCTGACCCCCACCCCTGCCCCGTCCCATCCCCGCCGTCACCATGGTGCTGTCACAGAGACAACGTGACGAGCTGTAAGTTCACAAATCCACACAGCACTGTGTATGGCAAACAATAGAAAATATATTGGTGAATCTGTATGTGTAATAGACATTATCATAATCTTATTTTAAGTGTTCATACCTCATTAAACCTTTGACCACAGTGAAGTACAGTATGGATTTATCAGGGAGTTTGATAGCTGAAAAGATCACTGGTTCTCTCTCATGAGGAATCAATGAGCAGATGTCTACAGGAGGTCTAGACAAAGCCTGGACATAAACAACCCTTTTGTGTCCCGTCAGGATAGACGTCATTGTAATGGGCTCGAGACAGTTTGTAGCCACTGTGCAAAATTTTTTTTAGATGCACTGACGGCACATGTGCTGCTTTATTCTAGTCTGAAAAAGAGCTGTGGTTTGGTCTAGTTATTGAGTTGTCTTTCAGCTATATGAGGATAAATTTGTCCTGAGGTCCTGAACGCAGTGCAATTAACCTTTGAACGTGTATGAGGTGGACAGATAAGAGCTTTTAATCATCAGTATGAGGTAATGAGGGAGAGATTAAAGCCAGTTGAATATGTAAAGCTGTTTACCTCTCCTCCATAACAGAGGATGTAGCCTGGCTTTCTATGAACAACTTAAAGGGGTCATATAATGCGATTTAAATTTTTCCTTTCTCTTTGGAGTGTTACAAGCTCTTGGTGCATAAAGAAGATCTGTAAAGTTGCAAAGACTAAAGTCTCAAATCCAAAGAAAAAAAAACCAGCAAGACCGCGAGACATTAACGAATCAAAAATGCCGCAAGTAAGTTCTATTTCCTGTTCGTGGTCAGTCAATAGCCACGTGTGGTGGCCAAGTTTGTAAATAAAGACTAAACAACAGCTTCTGATATATTTGTTTAGCGATTTATTTCATTCATCTCCCTCTCGCTGGTGGAACTTTGTATTGTGTGACGTAGTCCAGTGAAGAAATTCTTTTAACCCAAAAAGCAAATTATGCTCCCTTCAAACTGGTTGTCTTTAAAATACAAATCTTGTGTAATCCCAGGCTATCTTTAATCAGAAGCACATTTAAAACTGGAATATAATTTAATTTCATTCACATGTGTTTCATAAACACATAATCCTTTCTGGATTAAAAAACGCCATCAAAATGATACATTTAATTATTCCAGCTGCTGTGAGAAAATGCTATAAACGATTGACCACCTGCAGGATCCTCACATGCGATAGTTTAGTAGCCAGGACAACTTCTTTGTTTACAGACGTGCCGTAATGACGCAGTGCCATGCTTGAATTTCCCGCGAAAACCTTCCCGTACCACTCAAATTAGAAAACATTATAATATAATTAGGGATGTAACGATTACTGGTTTGATGATAAATCATGATAAAATTCCCCACGGTTACTATTACCGTTTCATCTTTTAATTATCATTAAAACCGTATTAGATTACCGCGATAAATAAATACTGTCCAGCATAAAGCACAGTTTTCAGTAACAGTCTCACGTGCGCACAGCAGCAGAGTCTTTTCTTTTTGAGTGAAAACAGGGCGGAAAAGCTGGGAGGTTTTAAAAGAATGCTAAGGGAATTATACAAATGAATATATGAATGGAATTAATTAAATGAATGTACCTCTGAAGGTTCTGACTGTCTTCAGAAACGATTCGATGGCATTTCGTTTTCATCTTTGCTCCATGTAATACCTAAAGGAAGTGTTCTTAATCGCAAGCTTTGTCCATACCTCTGAAGGTTCTGACTGTCTTCAGAAACGATTCGATGGCATTTTGTTTTCATCTTCGCTCCATGTAATACCTAAAGGAAGTGTTCTTAATCGCAATGCTGCTTTGTCCACAGAGTTTACGGGAAAATTCCGTTTTTCCATAAGTGCTTCCTGCTGTCAGCGAGTGGATTTACATAGACATATTTACATTCAGTCTGTGTGCAGTTTCTGTTTAGCCAAAAACGGACCGAATTTGCATGCTGGTAAAATTTTGACCGGTTGATGAAAAACAAGCTTATGTGGATTCTACACATTTAAACAATTCAGATAAGTTATCTAGAATTATTTATGGAGCAGATAAAATACATATAATCATTTATTACTCAATTATCATTTTGAAATATCTTTTCTTAATTTAAAGGCTGAAATGTGAGGTTTACCTTTTTATTAAACTTTTTCAAAGCTTTATTTGAACATTAGATATTTCAACATGCTATTAAAATGTTGTCAGTCAAGTTGTCATTTAAAATCCGAACATCATTGGTAATGTTATTGTTTTAGCTGCAGTCCGTAAGTTTTGCCTCTTTGTCGCCATCTCTGTTTGAAAACCTGCAATTGCAGCTGTGTACGGAATTATCTTCCTTGCGTGGGTTGTGCGGCGGTACGGCTCCAGCGCGGATGAATCTAATGTTTTGAGGTCAGTGTTGGGAGTAACGCGTTACAAAAGTAATGCATTACAGTAACTGATTACTTTTTGCTGTAACGCAGTAGTGTAAGGCATTACTAATCAATTTTCAGTAATATTTTACTCGGTACATGTTCAGTATCGGTACATGTTCAGTAACGCAACACACTTTTAGCCCAAAATTTAATTGTTCAAAGAAAAAAAGAAAGACCGCAAGACATTAACGAATCAAAAATGCCGCAAGTAAGTTCTATTTCCTGTTCGTGGTCAGTCAATAGCCACGTGTGGTGTCCAAGTTTGTAAATAAAGACTAAACAACAGCTTCTGATATATTTGTTTAGCGATTTATTTCATTCATCTCCCTCTCGCTGGTGGAACTTTGTATTGTGTGACGTAGTCCAGTGAAGGCGTGTTTAGGGCGGGTTTTACAGGAGTGCCGCGAGGCTACTGGCTCGACAGTGGAAACGCGGCATGATTTC